GAAATTGATGATCGAAGTTTGGATGGTGTAGGCTGAACATTTATCTGTGGTACAAATAACGTCTTTTTTTCGGCATCTTTTTCGATTTGTGGGGATTCGGGAGTTTCAGACTTTATCCAAGGATCGAGTCCAGTCTCTTCCGTATATGCTCTATATAAGCTCAAACGAATTTTATCTGACAAATGACTTGGTGAATCAACCAATTTAGCATGCCAGTTCAAATATTCAGGGGTTAAGGCTTTATCTATATTATTGTTTTATATGATCGCAAATTCAAATTAAGTATGAGTTGTGTCTTTGTCTCACTTATATAACAAGGATACTTATGTGCTGACACTGTGCATATCCTAAAATAATAATTAAAAAAATAATTAATTTATGATCATTTGGAACAAAAGAATATACCTGGATGACTTTATGACTTATGCTTTTATCTCAATTTCATGCCTCCCACATTTAATCTAGCTTTGTATCTACCTTTTATACTTTTTCCTTCCTCATGACTTTGTTTGCATACTGGACATAATGACCCCTTATGAATTCCATAATAATCAAATTTTTCACTACTAAATTCTTTATATAGATCAGAATATCCCCACACTATCTTATTACGAAAATAAGCACGGTCATGGGTCAGATTATTCCGTTTTTCAAATAAAGTTTTTTTGAGCTGAGGTGTAGATGGTATACTTACCTCAGTCTTTGGCAAATCGCCTGGACCTGGGGAATTAGAGATATGAGTCGCATTATTAGGTAATATTTCAGTATTGCCTCGGTATTGGGTAAAGATGAGATCCTCAGTTGAGATCACATGATTTTGATCGTTTTCTAGGGAAACGGTTTTTGAAGTTACTTGATCTATAATGTTTTGAATTTGTGTATTGGTTAATTTTGAAATATCATTTGCACTGCAGGTAACATACTTAACTTTATCAATTCCAACTCTGTTTTCCCCAAATAGCTTACGAATTTTTCTGGCCCTAAGAGTCTTAATTCGCAAGGCAACTGATGTAACACCTGGTAGATGTTCTAACATCTCTTTGTATATTTGGGTTCTTGCAGTTTTATCGCTAACTCCTGTCTTATGTCGAATTTCGATAACTTTATTCTCAAAATTATCTGAATAGCGAATCCAGGATAAAATTTCTTCATGTCCAGATCGTATAGCTTTTCTAAACAAATTGATTAAGCTTTGTGTTGTGATTTTATATGTTGATTTTTCATTATTCACGATGTCTTCGGGAGGTGTTTCTATAGGATCAAGTATAGCAATAAGCATACCATTCCGTAAATCTCGTATTAAATCTAGTTCTATATTTTGATTTTTAATAAGCTCAATTTCATCAGAATCGTCAAGATCTTCTGCCAGTAAAGAAGTATTCGGAATAGTTTTTTGCTGATTGCTTATTTGGGAAGCAATATCTACACTACTTTCAATATTATTACGATCGTTTCCCTGGGAAACGGTTTTTATATCACATGATGAATTGTCTTTATCATATGATGTAGAGTTTTGGGCTTGAAGCTTTTTCTCCTTATTGTGTTTCCTTATTTTATCTCTAACGCTTTTCTTATGTGCCTCATTTAAGAATTTAACCATCTCTCTCTCCTCCGGTGACTTGGAGTTGACCTCTGGTAACACTTCTGATACCACATCATTTGCTTTACAAACAGGCGCATGTTGCTTGAGCTGGTCTACTATGAAATCATCATCAGCAGATACCTCTGGTAATATCTCTAGTATCGCTTCCTTAGATGCGTTAGCATCCTCACTCCGTGAGTCATTCTGTGGTTGTCCATCCACTGCCACAGAACTCTGTTCCACTACTGCAAGCCTAGCCTCAAGCTCTTTATTCTTTTGCTCTAATTCCTCGACTCTAACATCACGCTTTACATTCTCCTCAATAATCTGCTTAAGCTTCACATTTTCAGATTTAATCTCAGCAAATTTCTTTTCAAGTTCGGGAATCTTGGCATTCTCCTTTCTAAGTTTAGAAATCTCAGCCAAGAGCTTCGAATTTAATTCTTTTAATGAATCGATTTTAGATTCTGTATTTGCCATTTTTTATACAAGATGTAGATATATTCAAAAGTTCGTTTAATATACATGTATATATGCTATGTAAAAAACTTTATACTAAAAAATTTCCGGAAAATCAGAAATCGAAAATTCTTGATTACATCGATGTCCATACAACACAATAAAATCCCGAAATATACATATGCAAAAGTAAACTGATCATGTATGCGAAATCAGTCACCAGGGCCAGATTTATTAATTGAAAAATCAAATGTAAAACCTATTATACGAAAATTTTAATATTACATGCTAAGAATAACAAATATTGGGCTGTAACATTCCTCTACACTAAACTTATTTGATCCACTCCTCTTACTAAATCAAAATACATACTATGCGATATCTGTCCCATCTTACAACAAATTTTTTTTCCGAAGAGTCTGCTCTAACATAAAAAGATCATGGTTTTTTGTAACTAGTTTCCAATCTTCCGCACCATCCGGCCATTGAATAGTTTTACGATTCATAAAGGGAGAATAACATGCAGAACCAACCTTTCCTGACCATTCAAAATCGATCAATTTCACGTCAAATTCGTTATTTTCAAGTTGACGAACTAGAATGTTCCCTTCACGCAAGTCCCCATGAACGTATCCTAAATTATGCAAATATTCAACGACCCCTTTAATTTTTTTTCCCAGAGAACTTCGTTTTTGGTCATTAAGGTTAGAGATAATGTGATTTAGTATTGAATGATTGTTCAGGCATTCCATATAAACCAAAATCCAATTTCCAGGAATTACTGAAGTGGTAAAGACTTTTGGAGCGTATCCAACTTCAGCTAAGAGCTTATGTGTATCAAGTGAATATCGATGTTTTTGAACAGCTTTCACATAGGCTGTAAGATGAGGCCCTTGTTGATTTAAAAATGTAACTTCCCAGAGGAGATTTGTGCTAACTTGGGAATTAATCCGAACCATGTAAGATTTATCGTCTATAATCACTTCCGGAAATGAAGGATGCACGGGATGGACAGTTTGAGGTTCGTCTTGAATTGATTCATCAACATCAGCATAATATTGATCGAGAAGTTGGAGAGATATCTTCAAAGCACGAAATGTTTTGGCAATTGATACCATCATCGTTTCGTCATATTTTTGCCAAATAAGAGGAAAGACTGGAGTGAGCGGGTCAACTATAGCAACATCTGCAAACACAGCACCGGAAACAGAAAAGTAAGGCCCTAAAATGCAATCAAAGTTAGTTACAAATTTCAAAAAAAATATATCAAACTAAATTTACTACTGTACCAGAAATTACAACTAAAAAACATGGAAAGTTAGTCACATGGTAGGCTGAATGATTTTCCATCTCCTTGCAAAAAGCTAAAAAATATCCACAATTTTCAAGATAAGGGCAGGCATCGGAGCTACAGTTATACTTCTTGTATTCCACATTAAGTCCATTATACGCGTTGGTACCATAATATACAGTGCCATCAGTACGGTATCTACGTTCAGTCTCAATTGGTTTTACAGGAAATTTGAGATAATCAGATAGCATTTTATTTGCCTTAGTTTGTCGATCCAATTCGGAATTATAACATTTTGCCATTTCAAAACAAAAATCATGGGCGAAAAGATTATCTTCACTTTCTGAAACTTCATCACATAAATCCTTAAACTTGCCAAAAATTGAGCAAAGCAAACTAACAGGTATGGAGCTAGAAGCTGTTGGTGGACAATGATTAAGACAAATAGCATCAACGGCACTAGTTTTTTGTCGCTTGTACCATTCCTCAGGTTCCCCAAGCTTTGATGGTGGTGGTAAAGAACCTAACATATCCAGGTATGATCTCTTAACTGTAGAACGAGATTGCATTAGTTTTGTTTATTTACGATTTGTGGATAACAAAATACAATACCTTTCTTTTTTTCTGAAATTATAATTGGATTATTAACCGAACATTTGTGTCTTTCAATATAATCAATGAAGACACTTTTCGACCAGCTAAGATCTATTAGTTTATCGCCAATAGAAAAAATATAATCCAATAATGGGCCTTTAAGACCGAAAACATTTTTCAAATGGACATACAACTGACTAAAACTGTTCCATTCGTCAGAACCAAGATTTATGGTATCTGAATCATGGTATTTGAAGTATATGGAAACTAAAAAAAAACAGTTCGTTAGTCAATACAAACTATATACTAAACGTTCATGGTAAAATGAAGAAAAATAGTAACAGATTTTTGGTAATATTCGTGATATTTACCTTCTTTCTTAACCTTAGATGACTGTAGCATTGCTAGTTTTTCTCTCAATTCTTGCACCTCCTTATTTGATGCATCCGTGTCTGTACAATAAGTATGAGGCACAAGTTAATGAAATTATTGCGGAGAAAGCAGTATAGGTTTGGAATATGAGTCAGAGACTCGACACTTTGTGTCTTCGAATGCAGTCGTGGTACTACTTACCCTGGTCCTCGCCCTTAATTCTTTCAATTAATTTCGAGATTTTTTCAGCGGGTCCACCAGGAAGTTTGTAAGGGTGAACTATAAGCTTATCCACGTTCAACCTGAGGAAAGCTTCGCCATCAATTTCCTGCTTACGAAGAACCTCAAAATGATCCTCCTTGAGTTTTAAATTTTGCTCGTTCAAAAAACCAATTAGCGTTTCCGTATCCCATCCTTCTACTATGTTTATGGCAGGAAGAGATGAAATAGAAGTAGACATGATATCGTTATTTATTTTTGTTACTAGTAAATGCAAGTTGAAAATTTTTTTAGTAGGAAAGAGTTGTACATTCTCCCTTTTATAGTTTATACAAACAATCAGATTGTCGTACAACAGATCACACATGCATAATTTCCGACATGCGATTCTGTATAATACATTCTGTCATAACAGTGTCATAACAATACCTACGAAATAACAATAGTCGAATTTTCGATTTATTAATGGATCTATTTTTCCACATGAACTATTATACCAACCATGAGCGTAGTGAGTCAATTGCACTAGTAAATGTAATCATGCATATACAATGAAGTTAAAAATATTTGATATCGATATGTGGCATGAGTTAATTGAGGTTAGGTACTAATTTCAGCCGGGGCGCCCCGGTCGAAAAATGAAAAATAGCAATTTCCGTCTTAAATAAATTGTGCATAACAATAAGCCTTGCGATACAGATAAATTTTGTTTTTTATTTGTCGAGAATTTTCACACTCGCATTGCCTATATATTCCATCCACTACTTTTTTGCATGTTTTGCAATATAGGTATGAATGGTGATTGCATTCGTCACAAACCTTACACCCGCGCTTCCACCCTCTAAAGATATGCCACTTTTCAAAGTAGTTTTGTTTATCTTTATTCGCGAGTATATTATTCTGATCTTTCATCGTTATATTAACAGAAAAAATATACGTGCTAATTTTTTTTATACAATACAAACCTGTTATGTGTGGCACTTGTGTTTGTGACCCATTTACAAACAAATTATGCCTCATAAGGAATTTCTATGATACGTTTCAGATTGAACGAAAGTGGTTTTTTTTATGTACGTATATTAGATAATTTTATTCTATAACAAATACAGTTATGGTAATACAAAAATCATGGAGAAAG